CGGCGCCTCCGCTCGCCCCCCGCCGGCACGCCCCCTCATTGTTTAGCTGCGGCGGCGCCGCCCCCTCCCCCAGCCCTTCGGGGCCTCTCGCCTTCCCCCTCACCTCCAGGGGAGTCTCGGGCCCTGCACCGGGGCAGCCCAGCTCCTATTCGACCCCTACATGGTCCCTGGGGAGGCGCAGAGCCGACTCCTGGGTCCCCGGGTCTCTCTGCAAGTCAGGGGTGTGAACTTCGGGCTCTCAGGCTCCGGCAACCAGAGTCCGAGGTCTTTTGGAAAGTGGGGTGCAGAGGTCCGATTTTCTTGGTCCTCTGAATGGAGGATGCTGGGAGCCTGACTCTTGAGTCTCAGATGGGGAGGCTGGGGACCCAAATTCCTGAGACTTCTAGATAGGGCTTGGGCGGTCCGGATTCCTGAGGTCCCCTAACTCTAGGAGCAGGAATTAAACCACCTCCGGGCGGGAGTGCAGGCGAGTCCCAACTTCCTGGGTCCCCTTGAAGTAGTGGCGCTTCTGCCCAAAACAGACTGGTTGGGGCGCTAGCAGTCCATAACCCAAGTTCCTCCAACCCTGGGAGCCTTGGGCTAGGATATCTGGGAACCTCGGGACGGAACCTCCGACCTGGGAGACTAAATTCTTCAAACCGGGGTGCAAGAAGCTCGCCCTCCAGGGTCACGCGGGGCTGAAGTCCCGGACTCCTGGCTCCTCCGGGAGGAGGCGCTGGGCACCTGGATATCTGGGGTCCCGTAGCCTGGACGCGGAAGCCTGTGCTTCGGGGTCTCTCAGGACCCGATGCAGAGACTAGGGACGTCGGAGCCCGCGACTCTGGATCCCGCAGGCTCCAGGATGGGTGGCACGGGTCTAAAGCACCGGCGGAGGCATCGCCACTTCGGCGGCCCGAGAGTCTGGTCCCAGCTGTGGGGTGGGGGGAGGTCGCCTGGGGCTTCCCCTTCCCCCAGCCGCCTGGGCTCACATCCTGTTCCCGCCCGCGGGGGGAGGGGCCACCTTCCGGAGGCCAGCCAGCGAAGGGTTAAAACCCCTCCTCTTTGGGTTCTGAATATTCATGAGAAGGCGAGTCCCAGGTCTGCAACACACCCACATTCCAAGAGCCTCGCGGACTTTTCCCTTTTTCAGCAAGGGCATTCGAGGCGTGAGAATCCGGGGCTGGTCATACACTGTCTCCTATTGGCCAACCAAAAAATTTGTAAATGCATCCACAACGCAGAACGGAAGTGTCCAGGGAGGTCACGTGGTCAAGAACAACTGAAGGACCCCACGGCGAAAGGGTGCGGCCGGAGCTCCAGTGGCGCAATCGGTTAGCGCGCGGTACTTATATGACAGTGCAAAGCGGAGCGATGCCGAGGTTGTGAGTTCGATCCTCACCTGGAGCAGTTTCAATTTTTTCTCATCATCTGTTATAAAAAACATTTTAGAAATTTGCATCACATAGAGGACTGAACACTTCGATCTTCGGAATTTTCAGGCTGGAAAGACTCCAGGGACTCAGTTAAAGAGTGTTCTGTAGCGTGGGAGGTGCCGTTTTTAGCCTGGCCAGCAGAGGGTGGTATCGCCTCTTAAGATGCCTGCACATTTCATTGGGTCTGCAAATCTCAGTTTAAGACCTGTAGATGTGTCAGGCTGTGGGTCCTCTTTCTCCGACTTTGTCTTAGATTTTTTCCCCAGTTTCACTGAGATATAATTACCATATAACATTCTGTATTAGTCCGAGGTCTACAACATAATGTTTTATGTATACAATGTGAAATGATTGTCACGATGTTTAGTTAATGTCAGTCACCTCACATACTTGCTTTTTCTTTTTCTTCTGTGTGTTGGAGTTTTAACTCTTTTTCCCTTCCCATTTCTGAATTCATTTGTTTTTTTCAACAAATACCGAACATCCACTATGTGACCAACTCCTATTTAGGGTTTAGCCATGAGTGATCCTGCAGGGAACAAGACAAAGTCCTTGTCCTTGAGGACTTGACATTCTAGTAGAGGAGGCAGATTCCTATAAACATAGGAACTAAGTACATTTCATATGTTAGGTGGTCATAAAAGGAAAAAGTAGAGCAAGGTAAGGAGGATGGTGGAATGGGAGGTGGGATGTGGGTTGCAGAAGAGAAGTCAGGGACCTCTCACTGAGGATCCATTTGAGCAGACACCTGAAACAGGGGAGTGAGCACAGGGCTACATGGGGGAGTATTCCAGGCAGAGGGCACAGCCTGTACAAAGGCCCTGCAGCTGAAGCATGTCAGAGACACTATTTATTGGTGGAGCAGCTAAGAAGCCAGTGTGCTACAGCAAGATTGATCAAAGAGAGAATCAGTCCCTGGGAGCTGGTTAAGAACTTAGGACTTTGGCTTTTATTTGATCTCGCTCAGGTGTCATGACAGGTTCCCTTTGGTTGTTTAGTGGGGCAGTGGGGAGAGACTGAGGGAAGAGGTCTGAGCTAGGAAACTAGGGAGGGGCTGCAGTGATGATTCAGGTGGGAGACAATGCTGGATAGAACCAGGGTAAGCCAAAAGAAGAGGCAGGAGAGTGGAATGTAGATTTAGGTGAATCAAAGAGGATTGCTGTTGGACTGGGGTGTGGGTTTCAGCGAGGAGTCAGGACACCCAGGAGTTTGGCACTGGTAGCTAGTGGTAGGTGCCATTTTCTTAAATGATTTTTTTTTTTTTGGAGAAGGGGCAGAACAGAACAGAGATGTCTGTTTCTTGTTTTTTCAGTGTCTGTAAATGTCTCTGCAAATCTTGCTCTTCCTCTCTGCCTCCCCAGTGTCCTTAGGTCTTTGGGTCTTTATGTTTCCCGACCCCCATCTTTTAAACGTTTTTTTTTTTTTTAGAGAGTTAGGGAGAAAACGAGAAATATCCATGTGAGAGAGAAACATCAATCGGTTGACTCCCTTACACAACCCGACTGGGGATGGAACCTGCAACCTGGGTATGTACCCTGAGGCGGAGTCAACCAGCGAACTTTCCACGCACGAGCTACACCAGCCAGGGCAACCCTCTTTTTTTATGTATGGGGACCAGAGCCCTTTCCTACAACGGAGGAGATCAAAGCCCACGGGCAGGGGAGAGGGCCAAGGAGGGCTGAGCGGGCTGGGCGGCCAGAGGAGGGGAGGAGGAGAGGGGGAACTCAG